GAGAGAACATTACAAATTTTATAAAGATCTGTGGTTGGAAAACGGAAAGGTAGCTTCCAGCCCACTTTCAGGAGTGCACGTTGTGCACGTTCTAGTTTTAAAAGATGTGTTTTAGCAGATCCGCCCCAGGCAATTATGCAGTATTCCATAATTGATTGACCAAGAGCCAAATATACAAGCCGCATAGTATTAGTATCGGCAGCATGACGGAGAGACTTGAATACATAAATTAGCCTCCGGACTCGAGAGGTAAGCGCGTCTATGTGAGCACGAAAAGACAGGCAATCGTCAATAAGTACACCCAGATATCTAATGCAGTCGACACGAGAGATACGGGGACAGTTACAGATTGACCTGTGATGTAATTTGCAAGAGTGTGCTATTAATGGAAGGGAGGGTAAACGGGACTTGCCGGCCTCTGAAAGGGAAAAGGTAAGATATTTCGTTTTATCTGAATTTAAAGTGAGCAGGTTGTGGGTCAACCAATTGGTGACAAGGTCGAAACCACCCTGTGCATGCAGATAAACCGACTCCCACGAGTCACCATGAAATAGCAGGGCAGTATCATCAGCATATGAAAAAATGGATGCATTAGGTATTTTCAGAAGACACAAGTCGTTTATATAAATAAGAAATAGGGTAGGACCTAGGATACTGCCCTGGGGGACCCCGTATGTAATGGGAAGGTCGATGCTAGACCATTCAGCAATTTTAACGCGTTGGCGTCTACCAGTAAGGTAACTCTCGAATAGCGCAAGCTGGATACCTCTGATTCCTATACGCTCAAGTTTAATTAAAAGAGTGGGGACAGATATCGTATCAAACGCCTTAGCTAGGTCCAGGAAGATACCTATGACCCTCTGATGCCTGTCCAAGTTAGAGATGATGTAGTTGGTGAGGTTTAGCACTGCGTGGCCTGTAGAGAGTCCGGAACGAAAACCATACTGAGAGCAGGAGAGGATGCTGTTTATTTCAAGAAACTTGACCAGCCTACTGTTCACAAGCCTCTCAAGTAACTTAGACAGGGTTGGTAAGATTGAGATGGGTCTATAATTGTTAAGACGATACCTGTCGCCGCCCTTGTGTATAGGAAGTACTACTGCTAATTTGAATGCATCTGGAAATATCCCGGATGTAAAGGCAAGGTTAAATATATGTGACAGAAGGGGAGTAAGATAGCTCTTGTATTTTTTGATAAAATTGCCAGATATGTCATCGCAACCCGCGGCACAATCACCTCTCAGATTCTCAATCAAATTATTCAACTCAATATCATCGGTTTCTAATAGGGCGAATGAATTAGGAAAGGAGGTATCGTTGACAGTTGAAGGGCGAGGTAAAGCATGAGATGTAGAAATGTTTTCCGCTAATGTACGACCTATATTTGCAAAGTAGCCATTAACTTCATTAACAGAGTGTGTTGGATTTGTAGCAGATACAAGAGCATCGGCAGAAGATTTTAGTTTGGATGTGTTTGTGATGGATTTAATAGCTTCCCACAGCTTTTTAGTGTTTTTTTGTGCGTTATCTATTTGGTTTTTATCGTAGGCATTTTTGGCAGCTTTAATCATGTTTGAGCAAAAATTTCTATACCTCTTGAAAGTAATTTTTAGAACATCATTCAGAGGTTCTTTTTTTAATTTTAAATGTAAATTGTCACGATTACGCAGACATTTAAGGAGCCCTGCGGTCATCCAAGGCTTGCGCAATCTTTTACGATTCGGTACTACCTTTAGGAAAGAGTTTTGTGCAATAATACAGCTGAGGGTGTTGATGAAGTAGTTTGTAGCATCATTAACTTGTGAGGAGCTATAAACTGGGCTGAAATCAGCCTGAGATATGTCTGAAGTTATCTTGTCATAGTTAAAAACACGTGTAAACTTCCATTTTCTTCGAGAATAATTGCAAAAATTGTTATTCTCGAGAAAAAACAACACAGTGTCATGATCAGTTACCGAAGTATTTGCTATGTAACAGTAAGCAGGTTTTCTCGTTTTCAGCATAAGGTGATCAAGACATGAGGTACCTTGTCGCGTAGGGAGAGTGTGTGCCGGTAACATACCATGAAAAGCAAACATAGTCAGGTATTCATTAGCCCAAGAGTCATTGTTGTTATCCGAAATGTCAATATTAATATCCCCGGTCATTATTATGTTATTATAGGAGGATACGGATTTCAGTACCTCATTCATAGAATCCAAAAAGGCAGAAGCATTCCGAGTGGCTGGCGACCGATATACTGCAATGATAACGACATCACTGTTAATTGTCAATAATAGACAATTTGCATCTTGAACTGTGGGTTCAGAGACTGAGACTGAGTGGTGGGATTTATAAAACACCACGACACCCTCATTCTGCACACATGTACCGTGCCGGAGGTAGATAATGATTTATAACACGTTTTTTTTTTGTCATTATGAGTAATGTTTATGTTTTTGTTGTTTTGTTATTTTATAATTAACACGCACTTCATCACAAATCAACAGGCTATAAGTGACAATGCTGACCAAAGGTCTCTTCTCGCACGGAGATTTGAGCATTAATCACCACGCTTGCTTAATGTGGGTTGGCGTTTTCATGCTTAACTATAAATAATTAGAGATTATAAGCCCAGGTTTCTTCCATTCTCCTTCACTGTTTGCCAGTGGCGTATAAATTATTTTAGAAAGTACATATAACTCGGAAAACGTCACATTGGTACTTGATTTTGGTAGGTTTCGAACCCTCATGCATGAGAAGCGGTCGTCTTAAACCTCCGGGCCACCCCGACCATCCTTTTGCTGACTTGCCACCCTGTAATTACGCCACTGCCCTTAATCGACTCTTATTGCAGCTACTGATTGACGTTACGTATCAAACAATTAACAAAGAACAATTAGCAATACACAATCAAAACATTTAGGTAATGACTCAGTAGAACAATCTATACTGACTCAGTCAACAGTATGACGTCATAACTTTGTAATGAAGTAATTAGATTGGCCGCATGCTTCTCAGAGCGGCTTCGGTTGCCGGGGTAAAAAGTAGCCCATGTGAAAGATCGAAGTGAAGTGGATCGCGATCCACCAGATCATTGGTTGACGGAATAATCTCGACCAATGACAGACGAGAATGCGACCAACTCACTTTGAAAGTTCGAATTGGCAGTTGCAGCTATGATCTATTTTTGTCAAAGTCAAGAATCATTAGTTTCGATATCACCAAATAGGTTTTTTTATGGGATAAGCCGGTAAACGAGCAGACGGATCATCTAATAGTAAGCAATCAGCGGCGTCCGTGGACACCTGGAACACCAGAGGCGTTACAAGTGCGTTAGCAGCCTATTGGGGATTAGGAATGAGGATTGTTGGATATTCAGAGATTGGGGAGATTGGGGAATAGGAAAAGGGTAATTGGACCTCCGGTAACCTCACACGCACTATGAAACACAACGCAAGCGTTGTTTCACGTCGGTTTTCTGCTCGGCCGGCTCTCCTACACTTAAATCTATTTATTTAAATTACAAATCTCTCGAGCGATCTAATAGTCTTTAACAGAAACTTGATACAACCATGGGAAAAATCGAATTCCATGTGAGATCGATCTCCGATTGAGATCGATTATATCAATTACAGCTGTTAGTGATGCTCGTCGCAAAATGTAGCCTCTAATGGAAAATAACTTGCAATAATCTTCAATTTTTAAAATCGATTATTTCCTTCAATAACGATTTCAAATCAATACTAAAAATAACTAAAATCCTTAAAATAACGACACAACAACTAAACATCTGTCCAATACCAATTACATAATTAAAATAAATAACTTTTTTTTTCACAAAAACACGCCATATTAAACGGAAGCGCGCGCGCCACCATCTTCCCGCCAAACGGACGGACGCGCCATAATCGAAATCGACACTTCCGCCCGTTTCAAAAAAGGAACGCATTGTCGGTTTTTTTTTATTATCCGCTGGCAAAGATATTACGTTTGTCTGCCTTGTTGCATCCTCATTTTTGAATGGCCCTCTTTATTTTATTAATGGTAACCAATTATGTTGGTTTGTGTGTTGTTATATCCGAAACTGATTGACTGATTTGGATGGTTTAATTGATTTAGAACGACGTTTATATATTGATTTGGTTTTGTTGTGTTTGTTAAATCAATTATTTATTTATACTTTTCAATTGACGTTGTTTAATCAGTTTCGGCGTGAATGTTACTGTGGTAGCTAGTCTCAGGTTCGGTCTCAAGGTCGAAGCAAGTTATGAGTTTTTATTTTTATTGCTGTGTAAAGTTACCTATCAATTTTGTAAACCTAGTAATTCTTTGCCCGACCCGAGAATCGAACCCGAGACCCCTTGCCCAGCAGTCGCACTACTGACCATTCGGCCGAGAGACAGTCATTATATTGTATTGAAACGTTACACAAATACAAAAAATATAATAAAATAATTACACGACAAAATAAATGGTCAATTTGACAAAGGCCTATCCCAACCGGATATAGTACAAAAATCGGGAAATCCCCTACAATAGACTGAACGGAACAAAACCTATTCAAGAAACGGATATACCGCCATTTTGCCACCGGAAGCGGATGTGGACTGTAATAGCTATAAATGGTGACATTTTCGTGTTACATGATTATTAGCGATGCGGTTACGATTGTAAAATATAGCAATATAGGTATTTAATATTTTATTTTTTGTTATGGCATAAGCCGGTAATCGAGCAGATGGATGCTAAGCAATCGGCGTCGCCCATGGACACCCGGAACACGAGAGGCGTTACAAATGCGTTACTGGCCTTTTGGGGATTTTTTTTAAGGGGGCAAAATCATCGAATGACTGCTCCCGCCTAGGTGAGGCGGGAGGGAGTGTCAGACTCTTACTGACTAAAAACCACCCCGTTCCTTCTCCTGCACGTCGAGTAGGAACCCCGGCAACCTATTAAGTCATGCCCTATAGAAGTAATTCGGCTTTGATCTAAACCATATATTATCTCTTTTATTCCAGGATATAACCAGTAACCATGCCTACACAAGCTCGCTGTGATCGGGTGCCACCTCCTCATGCCAAGTGGGACGCTCTGGACCTGAGGGTGCTGCAGGAAGATGATTTGCCACTTGGTAAGTGCTATACATCATCATGCGTACAGCCTCGTACTGTCCACGCCTCCCGCAGTCCTCCCCCAATGACTACACATCGCGAAGTTGGAAGCATACAGCGACTGTCGCAGACCTTACAATCCAGGACCATATATAAATCATAAATTGTAGTTGTTAGTAAAATAAAGCTGTGTTTGTTTATTGGCCCCATAGAAAACCGACGTGAAGCAACGCTTGCGTTGTGTTTCGTCGTGTGAGTGAGGTTACCGGAGGCTCAATTACCCTCCCCTTCCCCAATCTCCCCAATCCCTAAATCCCCAACGATCCTCACACTCCCAATTCCCAAAAGGCCGGTAACGCACTTGTAACGCCTTGGTGTTTCGGGTGTTTATGGGCGACGCCGATTGCTTACCATGAGGTGAACCGTCTGCTCGTCTACCGGCTTATGCTATAAAAAAAAATGTATTATTCCAGACCATACTTAATCTACCCCTGTACCAAATTCCATCCCGATCCCTTCAGCCGTTTTGGCGTGATTGAGTAACAAACAAATAAACTTCGTATTTATAATGTTAGTAAGATGTATCATTAACAAATACCTTCTTCTCTTCACCAGATCCTCGATCCTGGGGCCGTGCAGAGGTCGGCACGTGGGTGTCCCGACGTGGTGGTCTACCGGAGCGGTTCCCCATGAATGGGAAGGCGCTGTGTCTTATGTCCAAAGACATGTTCGCCTCGCGGGTGCCTCATAACGGACATATGTTACACCAGGTTCGTACAACTCCTTGTTTTATTTTAAACTAGCTTCTCCTCGCGACTTCGTACGCACAATCCCGTTTTCTCCCGTTCCCGTAGGATTTTCAGGATTTTTTCTGTCATAAGAACCTTCTCCTGACAATAACAAACACAACAAAAAAGAAATCAGATATATCGGTCTAGCCGTTCTCAAGTTATGGCGTGACAACGGGAAACGGGTTTCATTTTTATATATATTTATATATAGACTAGCTTTTTATCCGCGTTAGTAGGGTAATTGCCTAAATTTTATTTTAATGTCCGCCTGGTAGATTATTTTAACACTTTAGACACATATTTTTTATTTTCTCACAAAATGAAATACTTTCGACGATACATTAATATGAAATATCGTGTGACGTCACAGCGTGTCACATTTTGTAGCACGTTATGACGTAACGACCTCCCACTCCTAAACTTAACTCCATTTTATCTAAGTATTGTAACTTTATACGAGAAAATAAAAAATACGTGTCTAACATTTTTTCATTGTCTAACTGACGGACTAATTAGATTTTTAATTTTCATTCCCTGGGAACCGGGTTCGATTCCCGGGTCGGGCAAAGTAGTATTGAGTTTTTAAAAAATCTCAGCAGTAACACGGAGTCTGGAAATGTGGCTCACCCCCTATTACATGGGACTAATAACATAAATAGTGAAAAGTGGGTGTTACATTGTACAGTGGCATTAAGTGCCGTAAATGTGCGCCTCCGTCTACCCCTACGGGGATAAAAGGCGCGATGTTATGTCATGTGATTGTTATAGATTTCTAACAAACATTTTTTCATTGTTACAGGATTTCAGGAGAAGGCTAGCGAAGGCATTAGCGCTACAGGAACTAATAGAGAAGATCGCGACTCACTGACTGACAATATAGCAAAAAATACTTAAATGAAAAACTATTAGAGGCTTCAATAGTTACTATTTTACTAAAACAATGTCGTCATGAGCTAATGTTCACATGTAAACAGCAGCTCATGTAGTGTAGATGTCTAGTCAACAAGGATGTAGCGAGGTTGACTGTCCAGGCGACACACGTACTTAGGTATCGTCATGAGCTAATGTTCACATTACAACTTAATTATCCTTTACCCGACTAGGGAGCTTAGTAGTCAAACTTGACACAATCTGATCAATGACACTATCTTCTAAACCAAATTTCATGTTTGTCACGCTGTGAACGGATTATCGTGAAATTCAGTACAGAGATAGACAGATTAATAAAAATTACTTATACAAGTAGACATATTCTCATTACTTTATGGGAGAAGCCAGTAAACTAGCAGACGGATCACCTGATGGTAAGCAATCGGCGTCGCCCATGGACACCTGGAACACCAGAGGCGTTACAAGTGCGTTACCGGCCTTTTGGGATTAGGAATTTGGGAATTGTTGGGGATTCAGGAATTGGGGAGATTGGGGACGGGGAGGGAGTATTTGGTTACCGTATAACCTCACTCACACGACGAAACACAACGCAAGCGTTGTTTCACGTCGGTTTTCTGCTCGGCCGTGGTATCACTCCGGTCGAGCCGGCCCATTCGTGCCGAAGCATGACTCTCACTTAAGTTACGCCATTGTAAAACTGCGCGGTTTGTGATGAAAGTTATACCGCAGTTACAAATAATAACTGTTAAAGATGTCAAGGTTGACCAGTTAGCAATAGTTACTATTGCAAATATTTTGAGAAAAAACCTGATGAAGAAATGTTAAGAAATCTGTGTAATATTTGTGACTAGCTACTTCCACGCGGTTTCACACGCTCTGCTCAGCTCCTATTGGTCGTAGCGTGATGTTTTATAGCCTATAACCATCCTCGATATATGCGCTATCCAACACAAAAAGAATTATTGAAATCCGACTTGTAGTTACGGAGATTAGCGCGTTCAAACAAAAAACAAACTCTTCCGCTTTATATAATAGTATAAGATATTCTTATTCGATCCTGCTCTGTCCCTACGTCTTAATAGTGTATCCTACTAAATGATAGGTAATATAGAACGGTGACTGTTTGTTATTCTCTATCTCCTAAACGGCTGGACATATTTTAGAGAAATGTTCCTTAAAAATATGTCATTATATTGTTTTATTCCTAAACTATATCGTAGACAAATTGTTATGTAAAAATCTAGCTGGTGACAGTCCACTGCTGGCCTACGAGCCTCCTCTACATAAGTGGGGTTTGTCATAATATCCACGTTTGAGTTGTGGATCGCAGTATTCGATCCTGGGTGCTTACTCTTGAATCCAATTCCGATCGATCGACATTGGTATTGTGAAATTTCGTACTCTTTGAGTTACAACACTAGCGCCCATTGCATCCGTATTGCGTGGATATTGAATGAACTAAATGGTATTGAGTTTGGCTTTATATTCCGTACTCTGAATGCTATTGTAACAGCTACGATAGGGGTTGTATAGTGTTGACATTGAATAATTATTGAGATTATATTGGATTGAAATTGTATTGGCATTGAGATTGGTTTCAAGAGTAAGAACCCAGGTTTATCAGAGAGCGCTGCTGCCCGGTCTCTGTCTAATGTGTTGTGTCTTAGTCGGGTATACGACACCCGCGGGAAGAGTAGGGGTGCTGACAAATGTATTCTACTCTACCATCATCAATGTAAAAATAATAATCAGTATTATTAAACCATTTTGTTATTAAATAAATAATTAGTTTTTAATAAATAATAAATTGTTTGTATATTAGAATTGTAATTCTAGTCAAGGGTGTAAACATTGTAAATAAATGATTATTTTCAAAAATGTCTTGACTTTTTTTATTATTTTTGTTGACCTTATCATCATCATCAACAGCTTATAAGTGCCCACTGCTGACCAAATCCTCTTCTTGCACGGAGGTTTGGGCATTAATCACCACACGTGCTCAATGCGGGTTGGCGATTACAAACTTATAATTAGAAATTATAAGCCCAGGTTTCCTCACGCTGTTTTCCTTCACCGTTTGTCAGTGGTGTCTAAATAATCTTAGAAAGTACATATAACTCGGAAAAAATCACATTGGTACTTCCCGTTGGTAGGTTTCACGCTTACACTCATGCATGAGAAGTTTGAAGACGCGTCTTCAACCTCCAGAAACCACGACATCAATAATTAAACTACTTAAAATATAGAAAGGATAGAGAAAGCACAATTATAAAAGCAGTAGGTTTTTTTTAAGGGGGGAAAATCATCGAATGACTGCTCCCGCCTGGGTGAGGCGGGAGGGAGTGTCAGACTCTTACTGACTAAAATCCACCCTGTTCCTTCTCCTGCACGTCGAGTCGGAGCCCCGGTTACCCGTTAGGTTCTCCGCGACTCCGAATCAAGCAGTAGGTATGCAGAGCGGATATGAATGGGACCGTTCGTAGATGGCACCCTAGACGGACATATATCGATCAGATTGGCGATTTATTATAGAAGGGTCAAATTAAAAGTACCCTTAACCGACAAGTACGCATGAAAAGACTGATGACTGTTGATGAAGCGAAAGAGGTACCTATGTAAGAATTGTATCTAATGGCGTTTCACAGTCTGCCTGCCAGGGAGACAGGCGTGAGCAGAGATGTGAATTATTTAAGATACAAGTATCTGAATTACAGATACAAGATACAATATACGTATTTCGATCTTGTATGTGAAATATTTTTTTAAAATTCCATTTTATATCTTGTATTTAAATACATTCGTTCTGTATTTTAATATTTGACAAATACTTTTTCGGATAAGACACTTTTAGAATTCTTTGCATCAATAAAAATAAAATGTAATCAGATTCTAAGCTGACATTTTTTTTATGGCATAAGCCTGTAAACGAGCAGACGAATCACCTGATTGTAAGCAATCGGCGTCGCGGGTCGCCCATGGACACCTGGAACACCAGAGGCGTTACAAGTGCGTTACCGGCTTTTTGGGGATTAGGAGTTTGAGGACCGTTGGGGATTCAGGGATTGGGGAGATTGGGGAAGGGGAGGGTAATCGGGCCTTCGGTAACCTCACTCACACGACGAAACACAACGCAAACGTTGCTTCACGTCGGTTTTCTGCTCAGCCGTGGTATCACTCCGGTCGAGCCGGCCCATTCGTGCCGAAGCATGGCTCTCCCACACCTAATTTATAAAGGACAATGCTCTACAAAACCCAACATTGGCGCAAACGAAAACAAATCACTAACACAGCATTTAGCCATCGATTTCGATGATGCTCGTGATGTAGCCTTTATTGGGATCACACTAAAAGTCTGAGGTACCTAAGTTGCGCCAAGCCCTGGTTTTTTTTACACTTCGTGTCCTTTAAATTCATTCAGGTGTTGTTTTCCTAGAAAAGTATTTTATCTTTAAATAGTATTTTAAAGATCTTGTATCTAGTATTTCAGATACCAATGTCAATAGTATTTCGTATCTGGTATCTGAAATACTTAATTTTAAACTACCTTTTGCATTTTGTATTTCAAATACTTTGTGTTGGGTATTTTATTGATGAGGCATGAGGTTATATATGTATGTATCTATGTCAAATAAAAACCAACAATATTTTCAGATAATTAGGTATATTCACTATTTTTTTCCAAGCAATCCCTTTAACCCCTTGCTAGTGGCTCCGGTAAGTGTTTGTAGCAAGTTAGGTCCAGTATCAGCCAGCTGTTTGGCCAGACCGTCGAAATTTTTCTTGAACTCATCGCACGCCTTCTGGACTATTTCTTTAAATTTGTCTACACTCACATTCTTCTTGTCTGGAACATCGTTGAAGAGGGCACGCAGTTTCTCTTCTTGCTCTTTTGTTTGATCTATTAGTTTTACTGTGGAAGAATAAATAATAATAATAATAATAAAAGCCTTTATTCAGATAAAGATAAGAACAACAGAACAATTTTACAAACTGGACTTAATTTAACGTCTCAGCTTAATTGATGGCATTGACATCTTCATCTGTTTGCCCAGCTTTGGCAAAGGCCTCCTCCATTTTTTTCCATTCTGCTCGATTTAGAGCTTTTCTTGTCCATGTTTTTCCCGCTGTCGCCTTTATTTCGTCTTCCCACCTTCTAATCTGTCGGCCACGTTTTCTTTTCTTGTCTCTAGGATACCAATACACTATGTTTCGGTTCCACTTTGCGATGCCTCTAATCATATGCCCCGTCCATTGCCATTTAAGTTTCCGTACTCTAGTTGTGACATTTTGTATTTTAGTGCGGTTTCTGATGGTTTTGTTACGTACTCTGTCCGATTTCCTCAAATTTAGCATGCTTCTCTCCATCGCTGTCTGGCAAGTTTCCAGTTTTTTGGTTAGCGCTTTAGTGAGAGCCCAGGTTTGGCAGCCATAGGTTAGGACAGGTAGTACGCAGGTATTGTAAAGTTTTGATTTGACAGACATCTTGATTTCTTTGTTCTTCATTATCTCTTTTAGTCGCCAGTAACATCTCCATGCGTTTCCAACTCTTGTATCAATTTCTTTTGACATTATATCACTCATTGAAATTTTTTGGCCTAAGTAAGTATATTCTTTGACATACTCGATTGGTACGCCGTTAATGATGATTGACTCTTCAGCCGCATTCGTTAGAGCTTTTGTTTTGGAAGTGTTCATCGTTAGGCCTACCTTGCGGCTTTCTCTTTCCAAGTCCAGAATCATAACTTGTAGCTGTTCCCTTGTTTCTGCGAATAATACAATGTCATCAGCAAATCGCAAGTGTGACAGTCTTTCTCCGTTTATATTTAGACCATAGTTATTCCAACTTAACTGCCGGAATATACCTTCTAAAACGGCTGTGAATAATTTAGGTGACAATGGGTCTCCTTGTCTCACCCCCCTGTTTATTTTTATTTCCTTCCCTTCCTTTTCCAACTTGATTTTAGCTGTACTGTTGGTATATACGTTTTTAATTATTCTTATATACTTTTGTTCGACCCCTTGGTTTTTAAGACAGTACCAGATATTCTCGTGCTCAATTGTGTCGAATGCCTTGTTATAGTCGATAAAACAACAGTACAGCGGCACATTAAACTCTCTACTCTTCTCAATTACTTGTCTCACTGTATGTATATGGTCTAAGGTTGAATAACCTGCCCTGAAGCCCGCCTGTTCTCTTGGCTGGTTCTCGTCTAGAGTTCTTGTTATTCTGGCTAATATTATTTTGGCGAAGACTTTATAAACGTTGGACATTAGACTAATGGGCCTGTAGTTATTTATTTCAGCCTTGTCCCCCTTTTTGTGGAGCAGAATGACGGTTGAAGAGGTCCACTGTGACGGAATTGATTCAGTGTTCAGAATTTCATTGAAAATATATGTTAGCAATGGTGTAATGTAATTTCTGCCAACCAAAAGTAATTCATTGTCGATCTGGTCGGGGCCGGGAGCTTTGTCGGTTTTTTGTGTTTTGATTGCCTTATGTACTTCTTCTTCTAGTATGAGTGGGACTTCTTCGTGGTTGTTTAGTTCAGTATTATCCATAAAGTTCTTGCTGGAATACAGGTCTTTATAGAAGTTTGTAGCTATTGATAGGATATCAACCCTCTTGGTTGTAGTCTCACCATGTCGGTTTTTCACATTAGCTATCCAGTTGGTTTTATCTGACAAAACTTTAACGGCCTTTTTGATTCCCCCTGTATTCTTGATGAACTTTTCGAAGGTTTCAAGTCTATTGTGTTCTCTATCTTTACGTATTTGTAGTTTTATTTGTTTACTCAGTTCTCCTATTTCGGCTCTGATATTTTTTGTTTTATTTGTTAGTTTAATTAGTTCTGATCTTTTTTCTAGTAATTTTCTTGTGGTTTCTGATATATTTTTGTTATTTTTAGATACGTCCTCAATATGTGTTTTATGTCCTGTTGTTAATATTTCATGTATTGCGTTATATTTTTGTTGGGTGTTTAAGTTTTTAAGAGAACATATTGTCACTGAGGTGAGATTCTCCTTTACGGTGGCTACTTTTACTTTGATGTGTGGTAATGCTGTTTTTGCTTTGAAAGGTCGGTTTGATTTTAGAGCAGATGATATATTCAGACATGTTCTAAGCATTCTATGGTTGCTGTT